CTGGATGGCCCTTGTGGTCTCTTTCAACTCTGATTCTATGATTCTATGGCACGGTTTCCAGACCCTTCACCTGTCTAAAGAATCTCCGTGTCAGGACTTCCTGACCCTCGAGAAACCCATTTGTCAAATATCTTTGAATATCCTTTCCATCTTGTGAAAATAGGCCACCAGAGCCAGTAACCTCACTTTGCCTAACGTCAGGGTTGGCCCCTAACTTCCAACTCACTTTTGCCGGCAAAAGAAACCCTCCTCCCTCAGATAAAAGAGAGATCTGGAAGAAGTAACACCAACGCGTCTCTGCTGGGAATCTTCCAGATCTACCCTCCCGCTTCCCCTTCGAGTATCGCCCTCTTAACTCTCAATCCACCACCTCCTGGCACCCGAAGCTGCCCCTTTGCCAGCTGCTTCCTATTCGCACCAACTAATTAAGTTCATAAGGCATCAGACGATCAGCTGGCGGCCCACGAGTCATTGTGTTTAATCATGCACTAATGGTGGTTTCTTGGCAATAATTACAAGATAACAGTGTTTGCAGGCTGTAATCAGAATGATTCCCATAATTAAGACAGCCATTTCGCGACGCGTTCTGTATCATCCGGGCCCCCACCCTCCAAACCACCCTTTGCCGTGCTGATGGTCGTGAACGTCAGGGGGATCTTTTCAGAGGAGGAGAGCATGCAGGCTTTTAAAAGCCTCAGAGGTCACCTCCTTCCTGGTTGACCTTGCTAATTGAAGCTGCAGGAGGGTGACACTTTCCGAGATTCGGGTTACGGTCGGTGGGGTCATCTGACCGTGAAAAGCGTTTTAACCTTTTGCATTCAGAAAATGCATTGCAAGTGGCAGAATCATCAGTGCTGTGTATCGGAAAGATCTCCCCAGGCTGGTGTTTCAATGGAGCTCCATTCTTGGAGAATCCAGAAAAATAAATGTGCTTTTTGAAACCTTCTGGCCCTGATCCTCTTGATGACATATGCCAGGTGTGGTCAAACAGTGGTCCACACACTGTAAGTGGTCCCTAAATTCCCTCCACAACCCCCCCCCTCAAAAGTATTCTCCCCTTTGGTGATATTTACAGGCAATGTTTACTCCAAACGCATGAAGGTATGCACAAATACCAGCCCCACCTGCACAAGTATCCTCAATATCTCAGTTTTCCACTGCACTCCTTCTCAAAATGGCGACCAGAATATTCTTTATTATTTTCCCTACCTCCTTCCTCTCTGATCTACCTGACACAATTGTTGTGAGTCAGGAGGAGGAGAACCTTGAACTCATTGGGAAAATGACTGGTGTATTTAGGGCTTGGGACATTTTTCCCCATTGTGCATCACCTTGGGGACCCTAGTGGGCTGAGAGGCATTACACAAATTGTTGCTGTGGTTCTGTGCATTCAAATCATTTCAGACTTATGTTAACTCTAAGGCAACCTATCACAGGGTTTTCTGGGGCTGAGAGTGTGTGACTCGCCCAGTGAGTCTCCATGGCTGAGCAGGGAATTAAACCCAGGTCTCCAGAGTTGAACGCCAATGCTCAAACCACTATGCCACACTGGCCCTCCATTAGACAAATACTTTAAATAAATTGGGGGGGGGGAGTAAAATACAGTGGTTCCTCCATATTCACTGGGGTTAGGGGTGAAGACCCCCATAAATGTTGGGGAAAAACTCATTAAAAACATGCTTCTCTTTACCTCTGGGAACACATCTCTAGGAGTCTCCAGGTCCTCCAGTGCAACTCTATGGTCAACATCTGCCAGAAGTTGACCATAGAATCATGCTGGAGGACCTACAAATGCCTAGAGAAGTGTTTTCTCTAAGAACTTCTCCAGCATAACTTTATGGTCAACGTCTGGCAGAGTTGCACTGGAGGACCAAGAGATTTCTAGAGAGAACATATTAATCAAAACTGCAAATAATCAAATCCGCAAAAATCAAAGCCGCAAATGTGGAGGGCCAACTGTACAAATCCAACAAACTTCTCACACATCTCTAATGTTAAGATACTCACTGCCTCATCCCCCTTCTCCCTCTCTCTTCTTCTCTCTTTCTCCTCTTACAATCATCGCCTCTCCTCCTCCCTGTTCCTGAGATTTCATTATTCGATGGGGCAGAAATTTAATGTTGCAAATAGGTTCTGCGACTAGGCAGCACTGAGCCCCAGCTCAGATCCAGCCCTTGCTGTTTTGCATGAGAATGTCCTGTCGTCCTCCAGGGATGCTGACTGCATTCCCTTTTTCAGATTCATGGATCAAATCCGATTATATCTTAGATATGAACTGATATTCAATCTCTCTCTGGAAGAACTTGAATTAATTCAGACGATCCAAGGGCAAAAAAAAAAAAAAGATGATGAACAGTTAAGGCAGAGTTGGGGACCTTGTATCATTATTAATCCTATAAACCCTAGGAAAAGACAGATCAGTCAAGTAAGCGACTGACAGCAATCCCAGCTACTTCTTCAAGGGCTGTGAATGATCAACTGGGGCGGCCAACTCCTTCAAGATGCCAGGACATTTATTTCCTTCTTCTCTTTCTTTCCAATGCTGCCTCTGCATTGCAGAAATAATGCAGTTTGGTACTGCTTTAACTGTCATGGTTTAGTGCTATAGAATCCTGGGATTTGTAGTTTTGTGAAGTGTTTAGCCTTCTCTTTCAGAAAGCTCTGATGTCACAACAAACTACAAATCCCTGAATTCCATAGCATGGCACCATGACAGTTAAAGCAGTGTTCAACTGCATTATTTCTGCAATTTGGTTGCAGCCCAAGTCTTTTTCTCTCTCCATAGAAGAACTGACAAAGCTGAAGGTACTATTAAGGAGCATCATAGCTATGCCTTCAATGCAAGATCTTGGTCTTTATATTCTGCCATTTTTTTCCTAGCATGAGGGTGCATCTGCACTGTAAAAGTAATTCAGTTTGATATCACTTTAAGTGTCACAGCTCCATCCTATGGAATCCTGGGATTTGCAGTTTTACAAGATCTTCAGTCTTCTCTGCCAAAGTGTGCTGGTGCTTCACCAAACTACAAGTCCCAGGATTCCATAGAATGGAGCCATGACAGTTAAAGTGGTGTCAAAATGCATTATTTCTACAGTGTAAATGCACTCCAGGTGACTTTGTAATAAAAACGAATCACTCAAAACAATATATTCATTAGTAGTGGGAAAAGAACATCCACCAAAGCCCACCTTATGTTAAAATATATTAGGTTGGTGGGCATAAGAGAGATAGTGTTTTACATGGTAGCCCCATTCTTATAGACTGATTTTCAACCTTGTTGTTCCAGGTTGCATTTAACTGAATGTAGGACATCTTTTCAGAGCTATGGGAAGTTACTTTTCCAAGACAGTCCTTAAAATGTTTATTGTTTGAACCACAAGAGCACGGCTGTTGAAGATGGGAATCACTATAATTTTCCAGGTTTATGGCATGCTTTTTTTTTTTTTACTGTCATTGCAATTTTAAATGTTTTATGCAGTTTTAATTGACTGTGTGTTATATGTAATTGTTTCAGCTTCTAACTTGGCAAACCACCCGGAGGGCAACTTTGCCTCAAAAGGCAATACACAAAAGCTTTTGGAGGAGTAAACAATGTTCAGCACAAAAACTGTGCAATCTTCTTCGGGGATAAAGTAACTGAAAAGGTGAGGTCTTCTTGCATGCAGGAGGGGAAAGAAAAGCACCCTGACTCTTCTCAGAAGACTCCCTCACCTGAAGAAAGGAAAGAAAGAAAGAAAGAGAACACCTCCTGCAGAGAATTAGTATGACCATCATGTATTTTGCAATCCCATCAGCCAAGAATATTGACACTTTGGCAGAGATAACCTTTTCACTACCTCCGAATTTGGAAACTCAGAAAAATGTCTTACTTTCCCCTGTAATGTATTTTTTTCTTCCCTCTAATCATCAACCATCATAACCCACCATCCACCCAGGTCTTCACCTTTGAAATGAGCAACACTCCCAAATTTCACTGGAAGCCACACCACAATCCATTAGCCCCTTCCACT